TATATATATATATGAATGCTTATATATATGTCATAACAAAATGATTTTGTCCAATATATCAATAAGATTACTTCCATTTCTCTTATTGGGCATTCAATCAGGTTCTGTGAAATTCACAAGGGTGAATTTGAAATAAAGACTAAAATACTGTTAAAATAAATGGGGGAGAATATTCACTAATATATTGCCTAAGGTATATAAATCCATTTTCAATAAGATCTGCAATATCCTGGCAATAATTATATTTATGACTGCATTCTGAAGGCCCCATGTGATTTACAATAAATTGAATTAAAATAGCAACTAATATTAAAATGACTTCAATAACATTTTAAAACACATACAGGCTTGTGCATATATACATCGAAGAAAAAAGAAAAAATATTCCCAAGTCATGAATGCTCAGCAGAAGCCATTGGGAGAATGGGCAAGAAGTCATTTTGTAAATGTAAATTTGAGAAATCCTACTTGAAGGCATAAAGAGGCTACTTCTTTGGAATTTGGGTAGAAATGATAGTTCACTAACTTCTCTCGTTGAATCACCAGTTAACTTCTATGAAAGAATATTAGGTAAAAGATGACGGAAAAGATGTCTGTGCCTTTGAGAGCCATTATTAAGTCAGACTAGAGAAATGCTGGAGAAACTGTGCAGTTTGCTTAAGCACTTATACTACTCAGAATTCCCTTGAACAATTAACATGCTGGAGGATAAAACTAACAATGCCTCTACTCACAGTTCCTGTTCTCCAGAATAAAATAGGATCCCTCTGAATTTCACTTTCTATAGAAACAGTAGGAGATTTCTGGAACTACAATGCTGGATTAAATATGTCTCTTCTGACCCAGAAAATAGGAGACGAAATATTGCATGCAGTGACTGGCAGATATGCTCTCAAATCAGATTAATTCTTTCAGTCATAGAACTATCTATTGTCCAATTACAATGTCATTCAGGAGTGGCTGGAGAGTTGCCGTAATCCACATTTAATATTTTAGCTTTCCTGCACATATCAACACATTTTGATTAACAAGGAAAAAGAAGTAACTTTTATGTTATTCCCACATTCAGTAATAGGAGAATATGGGTCTATTTTGGGGAATATGTGTTCTAAAATTTGGAGAAATTTCAACTCAGTGGGCTGAGGTGCTTTCAGTGTAAAGAATTGGCTATAGAGCAGGTATGTTGGTGCT